TTCAAAAGCAAGAGGAACCTGATTTCTATTGTTAGACACAGAGCAACAAACTAACCAACCATCGCTGTAAGTTGAGCAATTAACTATTAACTCGCTGATTGGAACAATCAGGAACTTCCTTTTCACGTGTGGCACAAGCGCCAACTCCTTTTGGAGGCTGTAATCAACTAACTAACGGGCGTGCAGATTTACCCCATTGGTTCTCCAGGTATGAAGGTGGAAGATGTAGGTGCATTTATTACTATAACTATACATACATCGGCTGTTTGCTCCACAAGAACACACTTCGTTCTCCACCCACACCCAGTGATTGTGGAGTAACTACGGATAGTTAGTTAAGTTAGGTTGTCGGAAACTGGAGCAAATTTCAAGCTTTAGTTTCTGCTCCGTGCTTGGGACTGGACCCGTAATTTGTTGTTCCTAAGTTACTCCGTAACTAACTGGTTGCTCCATAGCAGAATATCCCTGTCCTGGCAGCCTCGAATCTGGTGTTCCATATATTCTTCTAGCATAATAGAGACCTTGTCCGCCGTCAAGCTTTGACTATTGCACCTGTGGCCACTCGTTCCCTGCAAAGAAATCTCACCCACAAGGATTCCCCCCCTCTGAAGCCGTGTGCTTTGCTAATTCACGCACCCCGGTGGGGGTTCCTGGGATTAGACAGTAATGCCAACAATCAGCATGAATGATGCAAAGTCTCCAGCTCGGTGAACATATCTAGGTCGTCGAGGGCTAGTGCTCAGTCGTCACTAAGTGGAATGAACAAGTTCGATGTCGAGAGGGTTAACTATAGAGATAGTGGAAAGACTGGAACTCGCTATATTTTCTTTTGAAGATCAACAGATAACTTCAATCTCTAAAGCTGCATTAAAGCGTATAATATTTTTCATGTAATGCTATAATTGATTAAATAGATGGATGATCTTTCTTACTTACAATAGTAGCAACTTAGCTGCTCCGTAGTTGCGAAGATATTTCGGGTTAAAATTTTTATAATATACTAAGTTACTAGTTAGTTAGTTAACTAACTAGTTACTCATTGCGGGTTTGCTGACCATGTCTAATCTTCATCTTGCACATTGGAGAGATACCTAGTTACAGTTATTCTACCCTTTTTTTTTTTTATATCTCTTATATATATGAAATTATGCGTTGTGCTCACTGTTCAGGTCAAATCAAAATCTTCCATGCTTGCCCTCACCACTTCACTGCCGCACTCATAACTACAGGGTTGGTTCTCTCTGTCGTCCTACCGTACATACCCTTCATATCTGCGTCGATGCAGGCAGGACATGAGAAACTATTTCAAAGTTAGCCTTCCACGTCACTAGCACGATTTGTCCTTTTCACCTTTTAACATGTGTCCGAGAACAAGCAAGGTACAACCCTGTGCCTCTCCATACTTCGATAGATTCATTGGTTTGTGACAAGCATGGGGCCCTTGAAACGAAATCAATCCAACCCTGTAGTATCGTTATATTGACTCCCTGTAACTAACTACAAGCCCTTGTCCCTTTGCACTTCACCCTTCTCACAAGTCTCATGATGTTCTTTTGCCGCCCGTCACCAATATTTCCTATTTCCTAGCTACCGAACAGCTTGTTCCAATTGAGGAATTTTGTATGGTATGAAGGTCGGTTCCATGTGCATATATATATCAATGATGTTTGTATTTTGCGATAAGCTGAAAGGGGGCCAGCGCCTTACCATTCATTATTCAACCAGCCCTGTTTCCTCTACCGGGTATGATCCTCTGATGAACCTTTGAAAGCCAACCACTCCGCTTATCAGATATCAATCGCCTATGGTAAAAAAGAGAGAAAGGGGAATTTTCTTTATTTTTATTTTTATCAATATTTAAAAAGCTCGTTGGGAACATCGGCCAATTTTCCACGGCCCGAAAACAGGTTCCTTCCACCAAAAAAGTATCATGGGAGATGACAGATTAACTACTGCCAACCCTAAAATTAGTGCAAAATTTTTAATTCATTGTAACTTATTTTCAGGGAAGAACCATGGATTATATACAGAGTAAAAGTGATCTCAAGCCCGGTTGGAAATTGGGGTCATGCTCCTCAACATCTGACCCCTTTTTCGTTCCGTCGCTTTAACTATTCGTTCATGCGAGTTGTCCACACTCAGCCTTCAAGCCCCGCGTCAGGTACTTACGAGCTAGTTAACTTGTGGTTTACTTGTTGGGTCGTTCCGTCGAGTTAGTGGGGTTTCAATAGTGTATATTTTACGTTGTATTATTGGATTATTTGGTAACTTAGAGTAATATGTGGTAATTGGTAATTTATCGCTAATGGTCAAGCTTCAGTGAGCCTAATTAGGTAATATAGAATTTCATTCCTTCATGAGATGAAATTCCTCTCAACATCTAGTTTATCCCCCGTCCGTAGGTTTTGCCATAATTAGTGGGGTTTCAATTGGTGTAAAATATTCACAGTCAACTTGGATCATTACAGGATCGGCTTCGTTCAACAGAGCAGATGAAATCAGAGCTAGTACAACTACTTCAAGGCTTTAATCTTAAGTTTAGATGATCATCTGCTGCTTGTTGCAAGATGCAGATCCAGCCAGCCTGAATTTTGTGTGTCTATTTGACTAATTAACTAATTACTCTAGGAGTGTCAGTTCAGAAGACAGTGTGCATCAGAACTGAATGCTGGGGGATTTATATCACTAGTGCTTTATTCATTTTCAAATCACTCAACTATTAGTATTTAGAGGAAGAGACTATCTGATCTAATTTCACACAATATTGAATCTCAGTGTATGCTGAGCAATCCCACCTGCTCTGTCAGAAGTATGCATCAATGAAGACTGTTTGCTGTTCATGTAGTTATATCAACAGTGTGGCTACTGGCTGCAACAACAGCAATTTCATTGACAATTAATTAATACGACCATTTAACTGACTAGTTATTATCGAATCAGAGAGTAAATCGAACTTTGAACTCTGCATTGCTCATTTCTCTATGAAAGATTTTCATTTGCAACACATTTAATTTGAGCATTGGAAACGCTAAGGAATATCTCCACTAGTTTATTTCTCCTCAGCGAAGTTGTCAAAAACACACATGTCCCCTATCCAATCAAGAAATATAGTAAGCCGGCGAGAACCGTTTCCAACAAGCAATGGGTGAGATGGCCGAGCGGTCCAAGGCGCCAGATTAAGGTTCTGGTCTCGAAAGGGGCGTGGGTTCGAATCCCACTCTCATCAACATTCTTTCTATGTTTTTCCCGCTATCTTATTTTTAGGACTTGTTACTAGGTATGATTTCTTGAGAGAGAGTTGATTTTCCGTAGTAGTCAGGGAAGCTGACCTTGGAACTCATGGTTTGGCAAGTAGTCTCCAAATCAGGAAATTTAGCCAAAACTCGCCGGCAGGGTTCAAGCAACATTCTTGCTTATCTGAAAGGAAACAAAACAGGATGATCTCCTGCATCTACTCATAGATAGATATATTTAAAATATCTTCTACTAAAACTATAAAAAATATAGATGTTAATTTTATTATTAACTATTTAATTTAATAAAATTTATTGGACTACTTATTCTCACGGTCTTCTCATCACAATGCGTCTCGGTTTCGAAGCTGGGTATGCAGTTGAACCATGTCGATATCAAAATCAACAGCGACCTTGAACGCCTTCTCACGTGATATAAAACTCTATTTTGTAATTTTTATTGACTGCTTGACTGTCTAGTTCAAAATTTTCATCAAATTTTTTTTTATTATTTTTAAAACTCGGAGTTTTTATATATAATAATGATTTAATAATATAGTTATATAACATAAAAAGTTATAATTATTAAATTTTTAAAATATTACAAATAAAAATTTATTTATATTATTTATATACTTTAATTATATATATAACTTGTTATAATGTTTTAAGATTAATTATATATTAAAAATATAAAGTTTAAATATTAATTTAAATTTATTTTTATATAGTTATATAGAGAATATAAATATCATATTTTATAATCCGACGTTATACTCGTTGGAAGCGTTTTCCGCACAGCAAATTTAACTATTCTATTTCAAGAATAGTAACTTTCTTGCCCCGCCACCACCAGACATTGATAACGCCTTTCAGAGATAGAAATAGAACATCGTCCTTTTCCTTGGCAAGACTCAGCAAGGAAGTGTTCAATGTCTGTGGAACCCCGTCATTATCCCGGTATTGCATAATGTCGACCGAATTGCGCCCGACGCACCGCATCTCTGGACGGAATGACCTTTCCATGGAATGAAACCTCACGGGTGGATACATGGATATAGACAAGGGATCTATCATCTCTACGCTATACAAGTCCTGGGACCGCTCAAGTAGTGCGGGCAAGTCGTGCGGGCCCTTTTCCCCGTTTGGTGTTTTGGGGGTACTTTTTCGTCGTATGAAATAACAGAGGCCCGACAAACCATCTCAGTTGACAATTTGTTTTGTTGTTGGTCAGTCTTTTGAAATACCGCATCAACCCTAGCAACCAATTATGTATCTGCAATTCATGGTGTGCAGGGATGCTTTTTCACCCTTGGATTCTGAGAAGGGACAAGCATCTCTCCTGGCCGCCTGTCATGCCTCCATGCCTTAGTTGCTTGTTTGGTTCGTTGAATCCGTCAATGTTCAACCTGGTATCTACGTCAATTCTTTTGCTGGTCTAGTATCGTATCCCACATGATAAACAAGTACTGTACAGAACATGAAGAAGGGCACTGGAATCTCGATTGCTTGCAGCACCACGGCTGTATTCTGCCTCAATTTCTGGCATTCACCGCACCCCCTTCGTTGTGCGTTTTCTGCCCTCAAATCAACCTAGTTGTGATGGGTCCGAAGGCTTTCCCCATAATAGTCAATACTTTCTGTGATTTGATGGGGAAAATGTGAGGACCAAGTGAAAGCTGCTGTTATAAACGCAGACACTTGCAGTTCTGAAGGTATTGTCTGGCTCTGCGTTATTTGTTGTGGAGTCCCGCAGCGTGTGCTAAGATGGCCATGGTCCGCGTGTGGCGGGATCTATGCACGAGAAAAGATGGGCGAAAGGAAAAAGAAATGCAAGTTAAGAAATTATCCGGTGTTTCCCTCGTCAGTTTTATATTTTTTTTTATATTTTTTTATATTTTTTATTTATATATTTTTATTTTATGTTTTTACCTGTATTTTTTTCACGTGAATAGACTAAAGCTCTCAACATCCAGAGCTGCTCGACCAATTAGCCACTGATATGAAACAGCACATCTGGCGTCCCAGTTCAGATATTCCAAGTCTTCAACAGCGATGAAGCAAGCATCCTCTCGACCATGCTGTGCAAGGAATGCTCGTTATTATATGAAAACCTATTTTCAGCTCATTTTGAAGTCTTTCGCTTCCATTGTGAACACGGTCATAAGCAGGGAATAGACGGACGGACAGAAGCAAGTTTTCAAATGAAATGCTCAGTCGAAAGCTGCCTTTTCTTGACGCGCGTTGGCGTAACGACTAACCGCTAAATATCCAATCTCCGAAATGATGCAGTGACATTTTCGAGGATTGCGTATCGGCCCGCGATGGCAAACACGGCTGCCGCATCTGTTCTTCTTGGACATTTAATTGTACGCAGCGTATAGATAGACTTTGATGCTACAGGGTATTTCAGGAGAATTTATGTCTCAACATTGGCTTATGAATATAACAAGGCGTCTCATTATCCCTTCAAGTTCCTTTTTTCATGCTTATCTTTGCAACTGCCTCCCCTTCGCATTCACCAGTGGCAGATTCATGAAAGTTCGCCCGGCTCAATTGTATTGTGGAGATAGAACTTGCAGACGAGGATGAATTGAAGCAAAACGACCATCAAGCATGATATTTTTGATTTTGGCTGCGAGTGGACGGCTTATCATGTCACATGCAATAGGCAAGCATTTGCATTCGCTATCAGAGATTGGCATGCAGGATATTCACAGGTCGCAGAGTGGACTCCGCTGCTGTGTGGAGAAGAGCACAAAACCACATGCTTCAAGGGTTAAATAACTACATGTGGATGCCGCAGGTGCCATAATATTGTTGCAAATGTTGACCCCCTAGAAAAGAGACGGCGCAAACCGGTGATTTTGGAATTTGTGAAATTTATATGAATATTTAGTTAGTCCCGTGTTGCTAACCACGATCAAGGTTGGATGGGGATTGAAGAAATATAACCTTTTTTTAAAAAGAAAATACTCGAAGGGCCAGTTCGTTCATTAACCTATCCTAGCACAGCCGCGCGTTTGAGGATGCTACGGAGCATAACTGTGATAATTTCTACCGAAGAACCCAGCAAAATACTTCTGTTAAGTATCCAGCCCCACTCTTCACTGAATGTGAGACAACGAGTGCTGTATTACACAATGGCATGGGTATGATGACGAGATACATGTATGTGTTGTTCTCACAGCCCATTGGAGAGCGACTTTCTATCTACCTAAATATTGTTAGGGGCCTAATTGTACCGGTCGTGCTATGTAGAAAGAAAGGGAAAAAAAAAAAAAAAAAAAAAAGGAGGTGGTGTACATGGAGGTAAAATCTAAAACATACAAAAGGAATGAGATCTTTGTCAGGTGTCGCGGGGAAACTAGGGGGGCGGACAAAATGATAGAAATAATGCACAGATAGTCGATTGTTTTAGACAGGAATACAAGAAGAATCATACGGCGTTACTGTTGTGAGTATGTATCGTCAGCTGGCAACTCAACTGGAGCCTACTGTGAGAGCAACTCCGCCGGTGCAGGCGAATTCTTCACGCCGTACCCCATGTGCATCTGACAAATCCTTGGGCTCCAGGGGCGGGTGCGAAAACCCAGTAGCATCAAGGTCAGTGGCATTCTCTTTTGGTTGGAAACCCCTGTAGAGGGATTTTGGCACCTGCGGAGCTTGGCCCTGGTTGCGCCGCCAGATAAGGAACCATAGAGCCAGTCCGATGAGTGCAACTCCAACGATCGCACTGGTAACTAGAATCTTGACCGTCCGCCGCTCGAAAATCGTATACCTCAGGCTTGTTGTCTACGGGTACCCAGGAGGAGCTTGCATCATGTTTTGAACCAGCCCCCTCGGAACCAGAAGCAAGTTCCTTCATCAATGTCATTAGGGCATTTGCGTTGGCTTCCCCAGAGAAATTGAATTATTCCAATCACTATGTCAAGGGGATAAATAAAATTTGTTGGCTAAGCTCGAGCCAAACGAAGGCACACTGCAGAGCTGAATCCCGAAGATGGGAGACGTACGGGTGTATCGCAAAAACTAGTTGCTGTGTAGGAGTGCCAACGCCAATAGTTAGTTACCCAGTTCCCATCGTCCCAAGTCTGAATCACCCCCTATCGTAGCATTGCCAATGGGAAGTTCGACTGTTAGCGCAGAGGCGCGGCAATGCTGTGCATGGCTTTGGCGGATGAAGAGCCACAAATAAAGGCAGAAATGATGCGCACAGCATCTTCCTCCTCGGGTGGGAATTCTCCGCAGTAAAAATGATGACCTCGAGAAAGGGCAGTTGACGGAGGAGAGGAATGATGAGAGAAAAGTTGACGGAAGAATAGGCCTGAACCAACAACTCTTGATCCCTACTGGGACGCCGCCTGATCTGCAGATTTCGCTCTTCTTAAGAGGGTGGATGGACTTCATCAAGAAACTCCACTTTTGAGGATTGTTTTACCCTATCCCTCTGGGTGGTTCCAAATTCCTTGCACAGAACTTTTCAGCCACGCGCCGGCCTGCCAACCTTGGCTCGTCCTGTCTGCGCCAGTCACACTGGATTGTTCGAAATGGGGTCCTCAGCACGAAACGATCTGCGTAGTAGATCTAATGAGCAACCTCGTACCACCGGAGGGGCTCAATTGACCAAACCGGGGCGTGTCTTCTCCCGCATCTTCTCCGCATCTTCTCCGCATCTTCTCCGTCGGCGCAGAGAATATCAGGTTATGACATTGGGTTTTCCCAAACTCTGCACACAAGTGCGCAGTGATATGTGTCCATGCGCAGTCCAGGTTCTGTGGATGAACTGAAAAAGTTAACAGGAGACATATTTTTCTTGTCAGCGCCCTTCTATCACTACCTAGTTAACGTTAACTAGTTGGGGGGAACCGCAGGAGCAAAACTGCTGCGGCTGGCGGATAAGCAAATCCCTCCAGAATCCACAGCCATCATTGTGGGGTATTTATTAACAACATCGGCGGCACCATAACTAACTAGTCAGTTATAACAGGATGCTCGAATAACTAACTATAATCTAGTTAAGTAGTTTAACTAATTATTAATAATGGCTGATCCATAGAAGGCTGTCGTTTTTGCCCCTAGGGCCCCACCTCAGACAACGGCACGGAGAGTGATGCCGAGCAGCTTGCTGTGTGCAATTGCCACCAAACACAACGTGTTGCGATGCACAAAATATCTTGAAAATCAAAAAATACCAAGATAGTTATACACGAACCACCGAACATACATGTTCTTACATAATTAGATCTGCCCCCTGTTTCAGGGCTCAGGGGCTTACCATGGGATGTGCGGATACCACCAAAGTTCCCTCAGAAGATAGGCAGGCAGCGGGTGTGCTAAGACGCTGGCTCGATTAAAGGATCTCTCCAAGCCCGAGCATTGATCTCCCGTCTAAATGAGCTTAAATGAAGTAATCGGCTCGGTAACTAGGGTCCGCTGTTAAAGTTCAGAAAAATGTGTGACAGCCTATCGAAACACGGATCTCTACCAGTTTCTCGTCGTTCGTCTAAGCACCCAATCCGAGATAGATGAAAAGGTTGGATAGAAAATATATATATATATATATATATATATATATCACCCATGGATAAACTAACTAGCTAACGGATCGGTGACGTTGTATTACAAACTAGCTTTCCCCCTTGATTCAAACGGTAGCAACATAACTAAAACCCCGGCAGCAATGAACAGAGCGCCACTGATGTAAACCGGCACCGCCGTTTCCAAATCAGCAAACATGCCAATGATGGGCGCCATGACTCCGAATATTCTATTGGCGGCGGCTGTAAGTGCGTTGCCAGTGCCGCGATCCTTCGTTGGAAATATCTCCGGGGTGTAGGAGTAAAGAACAGCATACATGATGTTGCTCATGAAACTGTACGCGCAGTTCCAGCCGAGGAGGGTGTTGGAAGACAATGCGGTGGTTGAGGCAACTAGAAATACACCCGTGAGCGTGGCCGAGAGGGATAATGCCCCTTTCCTCCCAAACCGTGGTGCTTCCACCAACACCGCGCCGACGACGCAACCGGGGACTCCAAGGACGGCAATTATTAGAGAGTTCCGGTATGTTATGTAGGTGGAACCATCCCCAAAATTGGCGCCACGGCTGGATTGGATATATGGTAAGAAGGTGTTGTAGAGGGGAAATCCAAGTCCTATAAACGCCCAGATGAGTATCATCAGAGAGGTTGACCAGGCCAATTTGGGAGTCGCGAAGAGCGATTTGACGTGACCTGCGTCAAACCTCTCCAAGTTTCTTCCCAACGCACTTCCCGCACCTGTCCCCTGAGTGGTGCCATGCCCGAGAGCTTCCAGGTTTTCGAGAGTAAGAGACGATGTTTTGCCGTTCCGCTGGGCCACCTGATGAACTACGTGGACGGCCTCTTGATCCCTTCCTCTCCCCATGAGATACTTTGGTGATTCGAAGATAGTGAAACAGGCAAAACGAAGGAAGAACATGATCATTGAGAGCGACCCCACCGATATCAAGAAATATCTCCATCCCATATTTTCAGAACGTGGGCATTCTTTCGCATTTTGCTCGCAGGTTAGATTGCCAAGGAAGGGCCAGGCAATGAGATTGGCCACGACTTGAGCAAGTGCCCAACCGATAGACAAGACAGTGAGAAGATACTGGTGAGTGGCAGGCAAGAACTCGAGAAAAATGGCAGAATCGACAGGCAAGTTCCCGCCTACTCCAAGCGACCAAAGCGCTGCGAACACTGCGACAGCTGCGAAATTCGGCGACGCAGCAGCCACCAGTCCAAACACTGCCGTTATGCCGATGGTAAGATTGAACGCCCAGCGTCGACCATATATGTCACAGCTAAACCCCCAGAAAACAGCTCCAACAAGCAGCCCCAGGCTTTGCGCAAGGGGTAGATAAGGCGGCCGGTCCGGGGAGAACTCGTTTTTCACGGGGGTGTAAATCAAGGACGTGACGATTGGCCAAAGATTATCACTGGCCCAACCGAAACCAATAACTACAAACAGTTGCCACTGATACCACCCCATTCCAATGTCAAGAATCGCTTGGTTCAGCAGTTGGGCCTTTGCTTCGTACACGGGATCGACGGTTCCGGAAGGGAGGGCTCCTACGGGGGCGTTTTCCAATATGGTAACGGCCTGCGATTCCACAACATGTTTATCGTCTCTATCAGCAACCATATGCCCCGGGCTGGATTCCGTCCCGATTTCCATGGCTGGTATGAAATCAAACGACCTGCGAGACCGCCCAAGCCGAACAAACAACCGTTTCGCTCCAGTCAATGCCAGGAAAGAAGAAAAGGGTCCACGGGTCAGAGGGAAGGTTGGCAAGCAATGGGGCGACGGGGAATATCCAGGGTAGTCTTGGAGCATAGATCAAATTACAGTAGAGAGAGATGGACAGATAAGATAGATATAATAAATTAAGCTAGTCAAATAGGTTCTCGGATCTCTGCGGCAACCTAAGATTGATCTGTAAAACATCATCATCATCATCATCATCATCATCAACAACAAACCACTTGTTCAAGGAAATGATGCGATGGGTTGGGGCCGCTGCTGAGAGGGCAGGGCGGCAGGGCAGGGCAGGGCAAGATCTTCGGTGTCCGGGGAAACATTAACCAGCCTGCCAATCAGGAGGGGGAAGCTGGGCTGGCTGGCGGGCGGAAGGGCAGGAGCCGCGTGTCTCTCAGGCAGGCCCCTTTGATCCCAAGACCCGATTGGCAGCTGACAAGCAGCAAGCTACGGTTAAACGCCCGGGCTGGTGTCGCCGGTTCGTCCGAACAAATGCCGCCGGTCACCTGATGTGGATGGAGGACCCCGAGGATGCTTAGCCACACCCAGCCATGGATGATGGATGGCGTCTGTTCGACGGATCTCTGCTGCGTATGGGCACACGCCCCTGTCTCAACATCCTTTCCCTTGTTCCGCGGCTACGGATCGAGAAAATGCTACACAGCCGCATATACGCGCAGTACGAAGAGGGGAGAGAGAGAGAGAGAGAGAGAGAGAGAGAGAGAGAGAGAGTGAGTGAGAGGGAGAGGGAGAGAGAGTGAGAGAGAGTGAGAGAGAGACAGAGGCAGAGAGATAGACAGACAGAGAGAGAAAGAGAGAGAGAGAGAGAGACAGAGAGAGACAGAGAGATAGACAGAGAGATAGACAGAGAGATAGACAAGAGACACAGAGAGAGAGAGGGAGAGAGAATTACCAAGAGCGCCTTGAGAGCCCCCTGTCCGATCTTGCTGTAAAAGCAACAGAGGATTCCAAACGGTGGAGGTGAAGCGAGTTCGA